TGCCTCGTCACCCGACATCCGACATGTTGGCATGTAGGAGGTTGCAGGTAGGGATGACAACAAAACCCGAACCCACGGGTACCCACCCGACCCAACCCGGTCAACGCGGGTAAAACCCGTGTTGACGCGTTTTGGGCCGGGTTTGGGTTTAAACCCGCTACACTATTCACCGGGTCGGGTTGGGTTTGGGTTTAGGTAAACCCGCCCCATGGGTACCCTCCCACACACATATAATTACTTTCCCGGTATATTTAATATTCTAAATAATATATCTTCCTTAAACAACTAATATTCTTTATGTTTGTGGAGACATGTATAATTTGTTCTTTCTAATTGTTTAGAATGAAGTTGATATTATGAAGTGGAGAGTGAAGAAAATTAGTTGACGAGGAAGAAGCTTTCAATTAATCTTATTGTTTATAGATGTTTATCTTTAATTTTGAACAATTTGTATTGATCATTTGCGGTTTGCTTGTATGCTCTAGATTGGTGTTTTTTGTATGAATAATTTGTATGAGAAAATTGATGTTAAACTTTTATTTTGAAAGAAACTTGTTATTGTAAATTTTTTTCCACAAAAACCCACGGGTACCCATGAACCCGCGGATACCCAGCGGGTTGGGTTGGGTTTGAGTTTTTCAAACCCAGCGGTTTTTACCCCGGGTTTTTTTGACGGATAAACCCATGGGTTTGGGTTTGACAAAACCCGCCCCAACCCGACCAATTGCCATCCCTAGTTGCAGGGGTGGGGGTTGCATGCCAGACTAAAACCGCTCCCCTCCTGCGGTTTCCAGTGAAAATTTGCCTATCAAAGGCAGGTCCAGAAAACTCAAACTCCACTCCTTCTTCTTCTTCTTCAAATTTCAGTTGTGCACCTTTAAATTATTTAGTTTTTGCGATTAACGTTAATTCGTAAGTTTGTTTTGTATTACCTTTCATTGTCATTTGTGATTTTTATGTTAGTAACTTAATTACAGTTTTATTGCAGATGGCATTCCAAAAGTTCACGCTTGGGTTGCGGTGGAATGGTTACACGGAAGACACCGGAAAGGGTGTAAGTTATGTGGGTGGCAATTTTTATAAAATAAAGGTCCGTACGAGACCGATGCTTGAAGAGCTCCATCAAATGTGCACTGAGGTTACCCGCATGGAGGGCTCTAGAAGAGTTGATCGTATGGTGTATCGATATCCAAACAGACATGTCGGGTCGTTGTGGAATGAGGAATTCCTCATTACCACTCAGGAGGACGTTGATGCCATGGTCCAATTTTTGACCACCAATAAGAGTAAATAAGCAGAGATGTTCGTTTACACCAAGGCGGTCGAAGGCGGTGTAGGTCATTCTGGAGATGGCCAAAGATCTGGTATCCACGGTGGGAGTGTATTATACGAAGATAATCCCCACTAGGAGTACCAAGACTCAAGCTGGAGGCAGGAGTATCGTGATGGAACTGGAGGTCATCATCAATCCTTCCCATCATACGAAGAAGAAGCTCAACAGGCGGATGGGAACCAATAAGCAGGCTACCAGTACCAACCCGAGTACAACTTCTACCAAAGCGGCGTAAGTGACCACAACTACCATTAAGGAGCTGGTGAAGGTGCCTTCCATGATGATCATCAGATGGAAGAAGAGGTCAATCCAAGTCCAGTTAGTGACCCTGAGGTTGAAGAAGAGGAAGGCGATGTCAGTGCAGACAGCTTCGATCCTCTTGAAGGTGCTGATGATTCCAGTCCAGATTCAGACGCAGACGGTGATGAGGTACCTCGCGACCGTATACCTATCCCGTACTACAATCACATTCCAAATGAAGATTGGTATGTTGATGCCGACATGGACCCGCTAGAAGTGCCAGTATGGGGTCCACTCACCGGCTTTACCATGGGCCAACAATTTGCAACGAAGATTGAGGTCTGGCATGCTATTGCAACTGAAGCAATGACTCAGAATTTTGAATGGCACACAACCCATTCCGACACGAAGAGGCTGATGGTTAGATACAAAAATCAAAATGAGGGATGCAATGCTAGGGTCCGGACCATCAACAGCAAGAGAGTTGGCCATTGGGTCATATCCCGTGCGGTGAACACACACTTGTGTGTCATCAATAACATCCCAAGGCCATCGATAGTTGAAATCAAGGGTGGTTGTCGCGGCTACCAAACATCTAATTGAGGAGAAGCCCGACCTGAAGGTTAAAACCATCATCGCCGACATTTCTAGTCGTTATGGTTATATCATTAACTACAAGAAGGCGTCGCATGGAAAACAGAAAGCAATGGCCGCCATGTTTGGTGACTGGGAAGAATCATATGCATTCCTTCCCAGATTGATTTTGGCTATGGAGGGGTCTAACCCTGGCACCATTTTCTCTCCTCGCTACCAAGATGAAGAAATTCAGTCGCCGGTGCCTGGTAAAAAGTGCCATTTCAAGCGTCTTTTCTGGTCATTCAAGCCATGTATTGATGGTTTTCCATTCTGTGTTCCTGTGATTCAAGTTGATGGAACATTCCTTACCGGCAAGTACAAGGGTACTCTACTGATCGCCAGCGGAGCAGATGCATTAGAGCAGTATATCCATTAGCTTTTGCCTTTGTTGAGGCAGAGAATACCGATAGCTATGGATGGTTCTTTAGACAAATTCAACTCCATATCACCAGGTGGACGAACCTAACCATCATCTCTGATCGCCAAGCCGGTATAAGGGCTGCCATCTTAGGCTTGGATCCAGCCTGGATGTGGTCACAGAGATGGTGCATACGGCATTTCAAAAGCAACTGGAACCATCATTTCAAGCGAAAGAAGCTTGCTGATAGTCAATGTTGGATCGGTAAGAGTTCTATTTCATTGGTCTATATCTTTTGTTAAATGGAAAAATGAGGACTAAATCAAAACAATACAAAACTTATTTAGTCTCTTTATAAAGTAATGCATGCCTAAGGAAATGGGGTTTTAAGCGATCATCATGATCCTCCCATTTCCTGGGAAAATCGAGTTCTAAGCGATCCTCGAATCCCCCTTTTTTTTGTCAAACAGGCTGTGTTTCTAAGGAGATGTATACCTCTCCTAAAAGTCTTACGAGTGTACTTGTATTGCTCAAAACGGAAGCCATGCTTACCTTATGCTTTTGTTCGTATATTCATTAGTTGTCGCTTACCAAGAGAAGAAACTTAAAGAGAAGATGCAGAATATCCGTCAGCTATGCCCTGAAGATGCACAGTGGCTTGATGAACATGACCTAACAATGTGGATGTTTCATAAGGACGGAGGTACCAGATGGGGTATTGCCATAACGAACTCAAGCGAGAGTATCAACAACGTCTATAGGGCATGTCGTGCACTCCCCATCTCTGCAATTGTTGAGATGACATTCTGGAAAAAAAATGCATGGTTCGTCAACTGTCTCCACTGGTGGGAGAAGAGGGAGGCACAGGGTAAGGTACACTCCGATAAGGCCACCGAAATAATGGAAAAAGAAAATCGGAAGAGCTCTCGGCACACTGTCACTGTTATGAACCGAAATGCTGGCAAGTATTCGGTCGAGACCTGGCACTGGGAGGATGAGAGACGTGGGGGTCATCGCCGATGAAGTCACCGTGAACTTTAGGACCAAAAATGGGGAGTGCTCCTGCCAGAAGTATCACGGGTAGAGGTATACCTTGTTCCCATGCAATGGTTGTAATAAATCACAGGAGCAAAGACCCTCGTCATTTCGCTAGTCCGTTCTTCAACATCGAATCACAAAAGAGAAATTATGGTAAGAGTTTCCGTGCATTGCCGGATGAAGCTTACTGGCCAGTTTATGAGGGTAAGGTCATCATCCCACCAATCGGACTTAGGTGGGAAACAGGTCGCCCGCGGGTAAAAAGGATTCCAAATGAGATGGATCAAAGTGGAAGACCACCGCGAGGGCCAAGGCGGTGTTCCATATGCAAAGTACCAGGGCATGAGAAACGAAATTGTCCCGGACCAATTGGTCCTCAAAATCAGGGCCCCGATGTGGTGAACCCGGACAATGGTGCATAGATTGATTTCATGCATTTTCACATGGTTCACAGAGTTTATTAATTTCAATGGTTACGTACTTGTATTTTGTGTGCTTAAATGGCATTGTTGATTTTCAAAATTGACACACTTTGATGCAATGTTCCATCTTTTTGAATAAACACATCACTCATACAAACACACTTCTACAGGAAAGAAAAAAAATAACTTCAAATAAAAACAACTTGTTTAACTTAACTTAAACAAAACATAACTTGAAATAAACACAATTTGTCACACTCATGCATTATTTCGATGATTCGCCCTTTGTTTCCTTGTGCGATGGGTGACTGGTCCACCAGGTGTAATAGTGGTTGAAAGTGGTGGAAGATTCCTATTCACCGTAGTAGGGCGCTGGTCCGTGCTATGCCGCCGCGGTGTCGTGCTAGGTGGCCCCTCCGTGTGCGGTCGAGGAATATCCACGCTCATACGGTGGGGAGTGGACTACCATTGTTGTTGCGGTCCATGCAAAGGTGAGAAGTCTTGGTGGGGACTCGAGAATGAACCATCGGCCCAAGTAGCCGAGGATGTGCCGTCATGAAATGTACTTGGTCGGGGATCATAGTAGAAACTGGGTAAGATATTGTATTGGAAACTTGGTGGGGGATCATAGTGGCAATCGGGCGGGGGATCGTAGTGGAAACTGGGGCGAGGCTCATGTTGAGTACTGGGGTCGTAGAAAGCACTTGGTCGCGGATCGTAGTGAAAACTCGACCGTCGTTCATACTGAGTACCGACCTTGCACCTTGGCACACCTCCAATGGAGTAGGCACCTTCCACGCCTCAATCGGCTTGATCTCAGGCACGTGAGGTCGATCCCTTGTAGCCTTGTTTGGCCTTCTATTGACCGACGGAGGCATGTGGGGGACATCTTCCGTCACCGATCGCGATGTAAATGGGGGAACAGGCGGGTATCTGTAATGGTCACGGGTGCGCACTCTCATACAGCCAAGGAGACTGTTCGCTATCCTTCGAATGAGCCCCACCTCTTGCCCCACCGCAAAGGATCTGCAGTACGAGCGAGGTCATGTATACGCTTGATGCCAGCAACCTAAATCGCAGAAAATAACAATGTTAGCCATTTAAGTAGTAATGCTTTGCATGACTAAATATATTGATGCTCAAAGTAATAAATAAATTCATATGACTGAATTACTTACCAAAGCTCCGTCCGCCGCACCTTCGGGGGTCATGTAACGTACAGATTGTCTTCGGTATGTTTCCTTGTATGGGTCTTGGTAGCCCATTCGCCCCACAGCTGATGCCGTCACAATCTCTTGATCTTGCCTATTATTCCACAGATCGATCATTTCTTCAAACTCCTTGGGCCAATTAGTAGATCCTTGTCGACCATCTTTCCCGTGGTACCCCCTCTGACTCGCAGAGACTTCCAATGGTAGGCATTGCTCACGTCTAAATTTTCATAGACATCAATCCGGCAAGTGCCACTCCACTATATGGAGGCAGATTAGTGGCACTCGGGTGCACCATTGAACGGGATGCAACGGGAACTTATGGACGTATGCGCGATAATGCGTTCTGGATACGGATCGAACTTAAGTTACGAAGGTGCAGAAAAAAATGGACCATCAAGAAACATAATAAAGCAAGTTGAAAATAGAGCAGGAAGTAATAGTGTATGTTGATGGTTACCTCTGCTTCCCAAAGGTGATCCAGCCTCCTACGATACTCATCCAGCTTATGCGCTCCTAGGTTGTTGCATGTTGTTTCACCAAGCCACCTATTAATATTGAAAAGTACACAATGTTAATACATACTAAAAATTTTGTTATAAAATACTGAATTAGTAAAAAAAAAAGGTGAGAACTATGATTGGGATAGAAAATGTTTACCTACAACCATAAGCTTCATGTCGTAGGGGATAGTCGGATCCCCATTCCTTGTCGGGGTCTACCTTCGGCGCAATCCATGGAAAATGCTCACAAGCCCAAAATTGGACGATGAACATGGCCCCGTCAATCTCCTTCACCACTCTCGAACTAGCATTACAAAGGGAGCGGTAGAGATGAGCTAGGCAAGCAGATGCCCAGCTCAGGTTTCCCATATCAGCCCAATCTCCAAATATGATCTTCAACCATGAATTGCTGATTAAATTGTTGGATTTTTTGGGGAAGAAAACTCCTCCGATCATGCCTAGGATGTAGATACGTACATAAATTTCTTTATCACGCTCCGAACTTTCCTCCGTGAGGGTAATGCCTCCGACCTCAAGGTTGTGCTTATGTCTGATCTCCATTGTAAACCAAGTGATGGATACTTGGCCCTTGGACAATGGTGGATTACCATCCGCATCGTGATCTCTCTTTTCTGGCGGACACAACCCAGTGACGGTCCATATGAAACGCTGCCAACCACTCATATTGGCAACAACTTTAGCTAGTGGTGGCGTGGAGTCCACACAAATAACATCACCATCGATGGGCAAATCGGTTAGGATGGCGATGTCCTTAAGTGTGATGGTACACTCGCCTTCACAAAAATTGAAGCAATGTGTCTCCTTTCGCTATCTCTCTACCAATGATGTGATGAGTTGGCGGTCGATCTTTCTTCCATTAAAGTGCCTAATCGGATCCAATCTTGCCCTTTTTAGAAAGGGCAAGATGACATCATTCCATTTAAGAACATTCGTCGTACCCCTATAGCGGACTATATGGTATGCATCCTAGAGAAGAATTTAACTTTCACTATATGTTTATGATTTATGCATATATAAATCTATTATAACAAACAATATAAATTAATGAAATCAAGGTTGTTTCCGAGAAATATACATAATTTAATAAACATTAATATTAAGCTAACTAAAATGAATATCATTTTCAAAATTTAATTAAATTATTTTTGTACACACATAAAATCAAATATATTATTTTGTACTTTGTATTGATTGTTTTCAATAATTTAAAGCAATACAAGTACACTTGTAAGACTCTTAGGAGAGGTATACATCTCCTTAGAAACACAGTCTGTTTGACAGAAAAAGGGGGGATCCGAGGATCAATTAGAACCCGATTGTCCCAAGTCATGGGAGGATCATGATGATCGCTTAAGATCCCATTTCCTTAGACATGCATTTATTTATAAAGAGTCTAAATAAGTGTTGTATTGTATTTATTTAAATTATTGAAAATAATCAATACGATTAACAATTAAGTAATTTATTGTACTAACAAATAAATTACGTTAACAAAATAAAAATTTCAAATGATGATAAATAATATGTACCTTGTGGTCGTTCCAAACCTCTCATGAATGATGATTGGATTGATCGTATAAAATAGTCGGATCAATCGGTCCTTGATCAACATAATATCGTTGATTGTATATATCAACATCCGGCCCAACCTATGATAGCATAACAACAACATACATCAATTAGTATATAAATTAAATAAACCATTATAACAACAACAAAAATTGGGTAAAATGAGTACGTACCGCTTGATGATCATCATAGTAAATACCCTATTCTTGGATAAAATCGGCCATTTCTCCAGGATCCGAACAGAGATTCGACGGTTTTTTAGTGAAAACCAAAGAAAAGTTTTTTGAAGGCAGATCGGACTTAGCCGCAACCAACAAAACAACTACTTCCAAGGTTTTTGGGTGGGGAGGGGGATGGGTAGAGTGAGAAACTTAAAGAGAGAGAGAGAGAGTGGAGATTGGGGGTTTGGTGTGAAGAAAATGAGAGGAAGGGGGTGGGTTTATAAAGGGAAGGAACCGCGTGCTGGAGGGGCGGTTTGGTATTTTTACCCCACCAAAAACCGCGCCTTCAGCACACAGTTTACGCTTCCCAATGCGCAAACCGCTCCCTTGCGCAACGGCTAGCAATCCACGACGCGGATCGCTCCGTTGGCAGGCGGTTAGCCGTTAGATCGCCTGCCCATCCTGCGATTTCTTGGACCGCCACGTGGAGGCACGTTTTGGCAGCTGCCCAATGGCAAACCGCCCCTTGCCCGCACAGTTTGAATGAGAACCGCGCCTTCGGGGGATGGTTGTAGATTTGGAATTTCTTCAGAATGGGTGGTATTTTTGTAATTTTTTTAAAACAGTGGTAGTTTTGGATTTTTGCCTAAACACTTGGGAAAATACCAATCCAAAATACTTTAAACTTAAACCTTGAGTTTCCCTGTATACTCATAAGACACGAAAATAAAGACAATCATGATGAAGGGTTCTCTTCTCGTTACCATTAGCCCTCTAACATCTTAAAGATTGATGCGGTGGTCCTCTTTGATTAACCTCCTCGTACTAGTTACGTCCTCTTCCCCTTTCCACACCTGGTGAGTGAAAAGAGGTCAGTCTCATTGTTGCTTTTTAAGGTCTTTGCCCTAAGCAAACCTTACTAACACATTATTAGAAATTACTTCCTCTTACATGAAAGTCGTTCTCGCTTTCATCCTTTTTACTTTAGTCCTTAACAGCGTATAGAAGTTCTCTACTTCTATATCAACTTCTAACTCATTACTAGGGTTCACCGTGTTACATATCGCCATCCGGTGTCCCTGTCCTCAAAGCAATGGTACTGCGTTAGGTATCGTCGTCCAGTCCATGCCCTGTCTACTACTGCGTTACATATCGTCGTCCAGTAGTGGCCCAACCTCCCGAGGGTTTGTCTTACCAACATCCATACATCACAAACACATTCACATACATCGCACAACCCATGCCTCCACCTTAAGTAGGCGGTGGGATGCCTCACACACATGATCTCGTAAACTCACAAATTAACTAGCATAACTTGAAATAAAATATATAAACTAAAAAACCTCGATAGAGATTTTTTCCTTTTACACTCATCTCGAAAAGACGATTCTCCGATCCTTATCCCGAAGAACTCGTTCCTCAACGTACTACTTCAATACCCTATAAACCACATCACCTTTTAGAAACAACCCTTTTTCTTACATAGCTTCACCTACCGATAATTTTTGGAATAAGTTAAACCTCTTGAAAGTTCCAATTCACAATTTTCCCTAGTTGCGCATAAGTACTAATACCTAGGAAAATTATCAAATTTTCCGAAACGGCTTATAAGATTTTATTCAATCAAATACGCATCTAAATTTGATAAAGTTTTAAACTAAATTTAGCGAGGCTACAAGGGCATTGGATAATTATAAATCGCCTAAAAATTTATTTTGGAAATTCCTGACGCTTTAGTAACCACTACTGTTCGTCACGAAAAACTCAGAAAATCCGTCACTAAATCCCCTTACTTGTGGATACACGAAAAATTCGCACTAAACCCAAACTAATTCGAAGGAAACCACGTTTCCTTACCTCCAGGACATGCATAGACTCCCAATGAATCAATTTGAACGAGGTCTCCTTGAATCAGCTCGTCCAACTCCTTAGAAAGATCTTTAATCGCCTCCAACTTCAAGATTTAACGATCTAAAGTTCCTACAAGCGGTTAACCGATCGTAGGAATGAGAATGACTAGAGGCCAAATCCTTACCTTTCTATGACGTCTGAAAAATTACAAGTCAAGAGGAACAACGAGTTGGAGAGATTTTTGTCAGTATTTCGGTTTGCTGGTGAATGGGGAGGAAAACCCGGCGGTTTCTTCCTCTCTTTTGCCTCTTCCACTTCTTCCTTGCTCCTCTCCTCCCCTTCCTTCATATTCTGCTCGTTCAGAGCGTTTTGGTGGCTTTTGGACATGGAAAAATGTAAATGGAGAGAGAGCAAAAAATTTGATATCTTATATATCAGGTGGAACACGGGCTCGAGACACGGCTATGTTCCCTCCTATGTTCCCTCCCTGTGTTCTCTCCATCTGTCGCACCTCGTTTTGATCGTTCGTCGATGTTTTACGGAACCCAAGTGACACGACCTTGCAAAATGGGCGTGTCCAAGCCGTGTTACGCTTTGTCTTCGATTCCCTTCGTAATGATGCGTTCACCAACCCCCCGCTCTTTAAAACGAGCATTTAATTGAACACGGTCAGACAATGCGGGCGTCTTCACTAACCGTGTTCAAGCCTCTGCTGTCTCGTGAACTGCTTCCTCAAAATGGTACACCTAATGAAAACGATCGTGCTTCAATCCGTGTTCTTGCTTGTGCTTCCTTCCTCAAACGCTTTACCATTTCCTAACGTCCTCCGACTCGTCAATCAAACCTTAATAGAATCTAAGGCCCGAATTTGAGGTGTTACATTGCAGGTAGTGCATGACTCGTAGCCAGTCAGTACATCTGTTAGAGCTACAAACCGAACAGACTTGTCGCAAGCTCCAAGCACTCAAACCGAGACTGGCTACGGAGGAGGAGTGGGATAAGGTCGTTGTCGCAGATGGATCGGAGAGCGAAGAAGAATAGGCGAACGTAATGCTACTGGGGCGGTATTCCCTGAGGATCATACTATGAGACAATACTGGACCGCCAAGGCTGAGGACATGAGGTCCAACATCCAACACCCTCAAGTTGCAGCCAACAACTTTGAGGTGAGCACCTCAGCTATCAGTATGTTGAGAGGCTCGGTGGTGTTCCATGGGAGAACAGGCGAGTGTCCCCGCGCGCATCTGAG